CTCTCTCTCTTTCTCTCTCTCGAGAGATTTTTAAGGGGCATCAGACCCAGGAATAATTTGCCAATGACCATGGAGAGCAAACTAATATCAGCACTTCCACTCCTATTAATGTATATGGACAGCACCTCTAGAAACTTCTTTTGAGGTGTCTATGAGAGAGAATCCTGTGGTAGGTGGTAAGAAACCAATGGCAGTTTTTGACTCCATTGTGTTGGTGTGCTTTCATGAATCTGAACTGGAGACTGAGTGGGATCTAATCCTTTACTGAGACATTTGGTTGAGCCAAGCACCAATTTGTTTGCATCTCCACCTTCAACTTAATTTTCCCAGTAAGGGAAGATAGAAAACACTCATGGGTAGAATCTATTGAGTTCCTGAATTTCCAATTTGTTTGAAAGTCATTAATGGGTGACATTATACAATCTAAATAGCATCAAATGTATGGTGAAATATTTTAAGAAACTGTCAGTGTCTTCCTGTTGTTCATCGATTTGCTTGAGCGGTGGGTAGCGGCCAACATTTTAAGAAAATGCTTCCAAAATATAATCAATGTCATTGGGTCACATTAGGCTGTGCTCTTGGCTTACTTCTAGTTCTGTGCTCAGGGATCACTCCTGGTGGTGCTCAAAGAGTCATAAGTGGTAGTAGAGATCAAACTCAGGTTGGCCACGTGCCAGGCAAGCACTTTGCATGTTCTCTGGCCCTTGATCTTCTTTTACTTACTTTGTCACTCTATGTCTTACCATGTATATGAGTGAAGGGGGGAAAATCAGTAATATGAAACCATTGACCATTTACACATTCCTTCCCTTCACTTTCATTTGTTAGGAGATAAACTTTTTTTTCAGTGCCAGGAATGGAACCCAGGAAAGGCATGAGCTCTATCACTGAGCCACATTCCCAGCAGGAGATAAAAGTAATGACAAATAACAGTGTGGCCCTGTTACCAGCAATAAGGGGAAAAAAACTCCTAAATATACAAAACCGTCCATAGAACATAATACCTGGCTAGCAATAAGGAATGACATGACAAATTAGGGTACATAACTAAGATGACACATTGCACAATTGTTGAATGATAATTAGGAACCCTGCATGAAACATGAAACATATTTAGGTTATATTTAGGATAGAATTAAAAAGAGAAGGGAAGAGCATACATTTATAATATCTAATCTGTATGTGTATGTGGTTGAGGCCTGCTCTGATGAAAATTTGCTAAAATGGTGATAAAATAGTTCTGTCAAGATAGTGAGACTGGATTTTCAGAAACACGCTTTAATGTTATAAAAAATAATAGCGCTAAAAGTGAACTCACCAAATAAATGCAGAAGGAAGATATTACTAAATAACTGGAGGTTTGGTATTTAAAAGGGAGAAATATTTAAAAGAACGAGCCTTTTAATCCTACATTTGCCAGTTTAGTAGTTCTTAAGAACCCATAATATTGAAAAGCTACTCAAAATATATTGTGAGATACTTTTAGCAAAAGTGTGATAAAATAGTATTGAAAACACTGGAGCTGGAATTGGAAGAGAGCCTGGACTTAACTATATCTGGATTTTGTTTGCCATAATGATTGCACTAGAAACTAAATCTTGAAACAGTTGTCTAAATATGTTTCAGCTTGGTGACATTGGCTAAACCAAGAAATGGTTTGGGAAAAAAAGAATCTATGTGCATAATAAATAGGGATAGAGAGGTAAGAAAACCAACAGGGGAAAACTTCAGAAATGAATTGCCTATTAAAATCAAGTTTTTTTTTTCTTTTGGGGAGGGGGGGGTTGGGGCACATCTGGCAGTACTCAGGGCTTACTCCTGACTCTGAGCTCAGGGATCACTCCTGGTGGTGCTTGATAAGGCATATGGGGTGCCAGGGATTGAACCTGGGATAGTCACATGCAAGACAAGCACCCTACCTGCTGTACTATCTCTCTAGCCCTCTAAAAGTCAAGTTTAAGCGACCATTTGGATCAATGGCCAAAAGGGAAAACTAATACTTGATATTTCTCTGAAATCTCTTAAAGAAAGATAGAAATAGTTTTCATGTCTCCTATACAGCTTGCAGAAATTCTTGGAATGAGCTGTACTGTTTCCCTCTAATTGGTTCAGACACTTTATTCTATTTCTCCTTCTCCACCTCTTTTGAAAATAATGACCTTTAACCCTGGGCTGGAGCAATAGCACAGTGGTAGGGCATTTGCCCTGCACGCAGCCAGTCCTACTGAACTGGGTTCGATTCCTCCGCCCGTCTCGGAGAGTCCGGCAAGCAACCAAGAGTATCTCGCCTGCATGGCAAAGCCTGGCAAGCTACCCGTGATGTATTCTATATGCCAAACACAGTAACAACAAGCCTCAAAATGGAGACATTACTGGGCCGGCTCGAGCAAATCGATGAACAACGGGAGGACAGTGTGTGTGTGTGAGACCTTTCACCCTGATGGTACTTACGAAGTGTTAATTTGTGGCTTTAGGCTACCAGCAACTTACTTCCTGTCAGAATGGAGTTGTTGGGGCTGGCTGGAGTAATAGCACAGCAGGTGAGGTGCTTGCCTTGCATATGACTAACCAGGGTTTGATCCCTAGCATCTCAGAGGGTCCCCAAGCCTTGCCAGGGGTAATTCCTGAATGCGGAGTCAGGAGTATTCCTGAACATTCCAGGTGTGCCCCCTCTCACACACACAAAATAATAATAACGGAGAATATTAATGTAGAATATTAAAAATTTATAGATAGAGCCAAACATTTTGTTCTTCAGGGTAATATTAACTCTCCTTTCTGGGCAATATTAGCCCTCCCAAATATTAACCCTTTAATATTTGCAAATATTCAACATTTGCAAACTGTTATTTTAACACCACAGAATGTTCCCTCAAATGCAAATTTTCAAGGTCTTAAGTTTGAGTAAGTAATAGAAGAAGAAACCTGAAATTTCTTCTCAAATAGAACTTGAAGACATGGTGTAATCACTTTTATTTCTAAACTTTGGACTTAGAAATTGAAATAGGTGCATGAATGTGTGTCTGTGTGTGTGTATGTGTGATATGAGAGAGTCTGAGCTGGTTATAAGAAATCAGAAAATAAGTTTTCTAACTTCTCAGAGCATACCTGATACTTTAAAAACCTCTTTTCAGATCTTTTGTATGGTTCACTCAGTCTATGAACATTTTTCTCTGGAGTCTATCTCCTCACCTCTGCAGATGTCCACAATGGCAAACAAATTTGAGAATAATTTTTAGTCTTATGAATTACCCAGCAATTCTCACTCATTGAAAAATGCATGAGAATTATTGAGTGGTATTGTGATTTCAGGAAACTATTCACCTACCCTCCCTATTCTAAACTAGAATACATGTATTTAGTGCAGAGTATGTATTAGATTGCTTGGGACTAGAGCAGTATTTAAACGTTTCTTCTCAAAAACATTTTACTCTTAATAGCTTCATTTTATTTTCAGAAATGTATTTTGTTGTATAAATAATACTTGGTAATAAAACAAATACACTTTTATACATCTGCAAAATTCTTTTGAGTGATAACAAGAATTCAATTCATGTCACATAATCATTATCGTGAATTACATAGCTTTGACATGCATTTTACTGTAGCTTATTTTCTGGTAATACATAAAATGCCTTCGACATAATGCCGGGGAACTGGGAATGAACTAATCTAATGTCTGTTAGACCCATTCTTCCCATTTCTGGAAACTGAGGTATGAGAAGACACGGTTTGCCAAAGATCACATATCACACTTTCTGACATTTAAGTCATATTAAAATAATTATAGTCTTTTAATATTGAACTTGATTTGCAAATTGTGTTTTTTTAAGGGTCTGATACTTTTTCCTTTCAGTATATATATTGATGGACAAGTAAATTTTTTGTCTCCCCAGAGGAAATAGATATTTTCCAAACTTAAAGGCATGATTCCTAAAACAATTTGCTACACTTAAAAATTTTGAGTCAGACTGAAAATACAGGAAAGAGCTTTGCCCCTAAAGTTTTGTCCTCAATTACCCTTTTGGAAGAAAGAGGCTGAAATAATATGACCATTAAAAATTAGATAATCATTCTTAAAGGATACAAAAGTTTTCTGATTTACAAGATGAAATGCACCATGTTTTCATAAATAAAACTCATTTATCTTCAATAGGGATCAGAGTTATTCTGACCAATTGCCTTCTTTCTTGCTACAATTGAGGATGTGAAATAGAAAATACATTTTGTAATTCTATTGTGACTTTTCTCTCAGCAGCAAAGCATTAAGTATAAAATAAAACTGTGCTCAGTTAAGTATGGCAGAATAATTCTTATTTCATTGGCATTTACAGTTTTGGGGAGTACTAAACAGATATACAAATGACATACCCAGAAGTTTAACCATTGCATTTCATATGAATTTTGCATAAAAACCAAGATTTTGTTCTCTTTAGATTTCAAAAGGCATACAGGGAAAGTAATTACCAGTACATGTCTCCTCAAAATGTTAGCCACTTGTATACCTACGTAAAACCCATTATGACTTGATGAAAGCAAATTCTAACCTATGAAAATATTACATCAAGTCATTTTGCACCTGATGAGGAAATTATACATGAATGATAGTAAATGTTAAAAACACTTCAGATAAAGACCCAGCAAGTCCATTTAAATTAAGACTTTAACAAAGTCATCTTAAAATATTAAGAATTTCACATAACTGGTCACACTGACTTCACTTTATTTGAATTTCCCAATTTTTGTCAGAGAATAATCAAACTCACATAATTCAACCGTCTTTAACTCTCTCATTCCTGCTTCAACAGGGACGCCACTATTCTAGCTTGATCATTTTTCCCCCCAGCAAATAGAAGGTGTGAAAAAAGCTTTTCTCCCGACAGATATAATGTTCTAGCATGAAGAATTCGGTCATTTTCTCTTTCAATTTTTTCAGCCTTAAAGCAGCTCACAGCCCTCGGGATAGCCCAGGGACCATGCCAATGCCTGGTGTCTGCAGCCTACTCCAGAGTTAGAGGTCAGGTAGCTCCTGGGGGGGTTACAAAGTAGCTAACATGATTTCAGTTGTTAAAAAAGCAACCAGTCCCATTTCCTTACCTACTCACAGCCTCTTTCAGTGTCCTTAATCCTTACCACCTTTCCCTAAAATGTGTCCCCAACATGCCTATTTACACGGCTTTTGGGCACTGGAGGTCTGCACGCCCATCACATACCCGCTTCTAACAGGGTGAGGCTGTTGGAGCAGGGCAGGCGCCTTCTTTTGGGAGCTCAGTGTAGTAGTCACGCTTTTAGTTGCACAGCGAACTCTCCTCTGCGAAGCCTAGACTATTGTCTCATGGTCCCACCTGCCTTGGCTCTGGTTGATGTAACAACAATATCTGTCATAGGGGCTGTTCTGCTTGTAAGAGCAAACGATGATACTGTCCTGTGGCACAAAGAAAATGCTGTCCTCGGGCTCAGGGCACTCGGACCTGTCCCAGGCAGAGCACTTGACGTCCAAGGCACTGTAGGCGAGGGAACTGCCCGAAGGACAGTAGCCATCCAGGTATCTGGAGGTCTCCTCCCGGTGCCCACTCTGGGCCGGGCTCTGACACTCTCCTTCCTCCGTGGGGCTGGAGGTGGTGATAGAGCTGGCCATGGGCACCTCATTTGGCCCCTGAGGAGGGGGCTTCCCCTTGAGGCTTGCCTTCTTAGCCAGCTCATCGGAGCTCCCCTTGCCTGACTCCAGGTCTGAAGGGGTCCTCAGCAGCTCCACCACCTCTTTGTCCTTGGACTTCCGGAAGCAGGGCAGCTTGCGCACCCACAGCAACTCATTCTCCGGCCACTTGGTGCACCCCTCGGTCTTCCTGGCCAGGGCAATGGCTGCAATGCCTGGCAGGCAGATGGCCGGCCCAATGGCCAGGAGGGGGATGTTGCCCAGCGTCTCCCCTTTCATCCCAGAGACAGTGAACATGAAGCCAAACACCAGGAAGACACTGACCAGGGCCACCACCAGCCCTGTCCTCGGGTTGATGTCATCCGGCCTCATCTTTCACTCCATCCAGCTCTGAGCCAACGAGAGGACCAGGGAGCTGCTCCTCTCCTCTGTCAGAGGGAAACCACAGCGGATTAAACAAAATCCAAGTCTTTTCCACCCACCAAGCCTCTCTGACTCTCTCTCTTCTGTCTTTCTCTCTCCTCTCTCTTCTCTCTCTCCTCTTTCTCTTCTTTCCTTTCTCGTTCTTTTCTGTCTCTCTTGTCACTCTTCTCTCTGTCTCTCTCTCCCCCTTTCCTTTCTCTTCACTGTTTCTCTACCCTTTCTCTCTCTCTCTCTCTCTCTCTCTCTCTCTCTCTCTCTCTCTCTCTCTCTCTCTCTCTCTCTCTCCCTCCTGTCTCTGTCTCTAGAGGTCTCTGTCTTCTTTTTCTCCTATCTCTTTCCTTTCCCTCTCTTCTCTCTCTCTTCTCTCTTTCCTTTTTCTTATTCCTCTCTCCCTGTCTTTCTGATTTCTCTCTCTAGTCTCTCTCCTTTCCCTCTCTCCTCTCTCCTCTTCCCACTCTCTCCCTACCCTTCCTCTCTTTAACTACCTTCACGTCCGTCACCCTCCGTCTACACACACACATACACACACACACACGCACGCACAGCATCCACCAAGTGGGGTCCCCTAGGTACCTGAGGTTCCCCGTCTCCAGGGAGCAGGGAAGGAAGACGAAAGAAAAAGCCGGTCTCCTTGGGCACCCCGCGGACTAGTGGCTCTCCCCGGGCTCTCCTCCTGGTGGCTGGCAGAGAAGCGCGTCCGCGGTGCCCCGCGCCCCGGCCTGCGGGAGGCGGGCGGTGGCGGGCGCGCGTGTCCCGCAGCCGCGCCCGTCGGTGCCCGGGGCTCTGGCAGCGGCGCGGCGGGCGGGAGGCAGGATGGAGCGCGGGGCCGCCGGCCGCGTTACATCACTGGCGAGCGGGCTCCGCGGGCAGGAGCGCTGGGGTGCCGGGGGGCCCGACCCCCGCCCCAGGTCAGCCCCCCGGCACTCGCAGCAGCTCGGATCCGGGCCGCAAGGGCCAACGCTGCCCGCTGGGGGTGCCCGTTCCTGGGTCCTAGACGCTCCTCCAGCGACACATCTGGGATGCGCTAGCGATCCGACTCGAAGCAACTTCCAGGAGGGTCCCCGCCAGCCCGGGTGTCCATCGCGAGGTTCTGGGGCTGGGGGCGCGGGAGTCGTAGGCTCTCCCGCCGGGTCACCAGGCCGCCGGACTCGGCTCCTCGCAGTCGGGGCGCAGCGAGGCGCAGCGGGGTGGGGGGGGGGGTGGGGCGCAAACGCTTGAGCCCGTGGCCGGGGAGCCGGACTGGTCCCCGCTCCCGGCGCGCAAGGGACCCAGGCCCAGACAAGGTGAGGGCTGGGTGAAGTTTTACAATGGTCTTGGGGTTGTGGGAGCCCCCTGAGTTCTTCCAGGTCCAGACCCTGGAGGGTGAGGCCTAGGAGCCCCGTATCTTCCAAAGCGGCAAGGGAGCGGCCAGGACCTGAGGTACAGGGATCAAGGCTAGTGGTCCTGAATCCCCATCCTGGCACCCCCACCCCCCCAGACCCCCCTTACCTCCAGGTAGAACTCCTCCTGCAGGCGAGCCTCCCTTCTTGTGCTCCCCTTTACAGGTGGCTGGTTCCTTTGAGTCTGGGCACCAGGCTGACTTGGGCTGTGGGTGCAGGGAAAGAGTGAAAAAGCCCGATTGGGAAGAGCCGGGGGCTGGGCAGAGGCACCATCTTTCATGCAAGACACTGTCTTGGTGGAAAGAACTTATTTGTCTGATACCTATCTGAGCTCCAACTCATCATGCCAGAACTGAGCTCACTGTAGTTCCTCCAAGTATGCTTGTTCTCATTCGACCCCATTGTTCTTCTCTTTTACCTCAACTAAGTAACTCCGGAATTACTTTCTATTCCTATCTTTTCCTAACAGCCCAAAACCAATAATTTCTAGGGCCTATCACTAGTCCTATCACTACCCAAGTCCTTAGATTCTTACCTCCTAAATATCTTGCTTTTTTCCTACCTGCACCTGATGCCAATCATGTTTCCTCCTATAGTCTCAATGTCCCGTGAAACAGGACTTTGAATAAGAACTAACTAAGGTCCATTTCAGCTTCATAAGTGCATGGATCTCTGCTAGTCCTTTCTTTAGCTTTGTGATGATGCCCAATAATTGTGCAGGTGCTTCAACAATTATGCAGGAAATCAGTGTGGCTCTTTAAGAAGTTATGTTGCTGGGCAGAGAACTTCTCTCACACAAATATCTAATTTCATTCTTTCAAGCTATACCATTCATCTACCTGGCCATTAGATAAGACCCACACACAAACCACAGGAAAAATCACCTACTGTTTAATGAGATGCCTCATAATTTCAGATGGTCTTTGAACCAAGTCAGCAGCAAATGTCTGTGTTGGGGAGGGTGGTGGTGGAAGACATCACTCAGGGCCACCATATTAAATGTTAGAAAAGGCATCTCAGTGCTGAATTTCTTCCCTATAAAGGTGATGATACCAGGATGTAAAAATCTTAAGCATATCTTGCATTTCTGTGATCCTGTACAGCCATCTACCAAAGATTTTCATCAAAAGAAAAAGGAAATTCAGAGTGGAGAGGGGCTTTAGTATATGAGTGCTTGAGATCTAATGTAGAATCTTTTATTTATAAAATTATAGAAAGCATGGGATTTTTTTGTATTGAAAGCAGCAATTTTATTATTAAAATTATTATTTTAATTACTTAAATATAAATAATATAAAATTATTATTTATTAAAACTATTTATTAAAATTATTTACAAAAACCCAAAGACATACTTCATGAAACTGGTACAAACTATTTTTTTTTCCTGCCGTTGACTTTTGCTCCAAATATCACAGCTGAGAAATACTGTATAAAATAAAAATAGGATTGGATTCAGAAAAGTACTCTATGGTTCTAATTTTCCAGTTGGTAGTATTTACACATAATTATTCACAATGAAAAAAAGGTTTACTTTAAAACTTTAGTAAATAATTAAATAATTCCCGCAGAGGAATAATAATTCCTCCCCTGTGTGGAGTCGCGGTGGGGGTGGGGAGAGATGTCTGGGGCTCAAGGCATGCCGACACTTCGGATGCACTTCGGAGGAAGTGGGTGCGCAGGTCTTGACCACAAAAGGGTCCCCCTTGTGTGCATACAGACTTCACGTGGAATTAAAGATAATTTCAAGATTATCTTGCAGAAAACTACTTAAACTTCTTTTATTGTTCAGATGAGGTCCAGAAAGATGGCATTTATTCGATATTACATTTGTGTGTGTGTCGTATGTGTGTGGTGGTTGTGTTGGATGCTGAAGATACAGCCAGATAATATATGGACTACCAATATAGAAATCACATTCATACACAATAATAAAAATTTTAAAAAATCACTTTAATCACTCAGCCCAATGAAAAAAAAGATACATGTACTTGTCAGAAAAGAATAGATTATTCCATGGCAGCGGGTCTGGAGCGATAGCACAGCGGGTAGGGCGTTCACCTTACAAGCGGCCAACATGGCCGACCCGAGTTCGATTCCTCCGCCCCTCTCGGAGAGCCCGGCAAGCTACCGAGAGTATTCGATATGCCAGACACAGTAAAACAAAGTCTCCAATGGAGACGTTACTGGGCCCGCTCGAGCAAATCGACGATCAACGGGAGGGCCTTTACCTTTTACCTTTATTCCATGGCAGCAAAAGGACTTTCAGATCTCAAAGTTTATATGCTGGTATCACCTGCCTTTCAAGGTCACTGTAGTCTTTCTCTGTCTTAGAATTTCTATAAATGTGTGCTGATAGACACAAATCCAAAGGATATTCTAGTCAGATGTCCTTCAACGAGCTTTCAGCATAGCAGCTCTTCTTGGCTCCTCCAACTTAATTCCTCCCTGTAGACCAAAGAATGTTCCAGAATGATGTGCTCCATCTGGAAACCGTCCTGTTTTTTTATACTGTTGGTGAGATCATTGCACTGTAGAGTTCCTGCCCTACAAGCCTGTCCCTGCTTCTGCGGTTTATGCACAGCTCTTTTCTAGATCCATCCTCCCAAAGCTTGACCAAACTTCCCATATATGCACCTTCAAGCTTATGGGTTGACAAAGAAATCACTGTATTATTTATTTATTTAAACATTTTAATTGAATCATTGTGATAGACCATTACAAAAGCTGTTAATGATTGGATTTCAGTTATGCAGTATTCCAATATCCATCCCTCCACCAGTGTACATTTCCCAGCACCAGTGTCCCCAGATTCCCTCCCATCACCCTCCACCCCCCAACCCCTGCCTGCCTCTATGGCAGGTGCTTTTCTTCTCTCTCTCTCTCACTCTCTCTCTCTCTCTTTTTCTCTCTCCTTTTGAGCATTGTGGTTTGCAATATTGATACTAAAAGGTTATCAAGAATATCCCTTACCTACTTTTAACCCTCAGATCTTGTCCAGAGTGATTATTCCCAACCATTATTGTCACAGCAGCCTCTTCTCTATCTTACCTACCTTCAGCCCCATACACACTTTTGGTTAGTTCCAACCATTGACCAGTCCTCCTAACCCCTGTTTTCCTGGCCATGGATATTGTTTATCTACTATATATATTTATATACCACAAATGAATGCAGTCTTTCTATATCTGTCCCTTTCCTTCTGATTCATTTCACTCAGCATGATACTCTCCGTGTCCATCCATTTATAGGTAAATTTCATCACTTCATCTTTCCTTAGAGCTGCATAGTATTCCATTGGAGACCACTGCATTTTGAGAATGAATAAAACTCAAGTTATAAGACAGATGTTTATATGCTGCTTGTCATAACAGAATTAAGCTTTTGAAGAGTAAGACAGCTCTCATTTACCTCTTGCTTCGGTGGCACACATGTTAGATACAGATTTGATAGAAGAGTTGAGGAGAAGGAATGGATAGTTCCAACTGTTTTAAGAAGCACTGCTTGGCTCTTGTGTAGAAAATAGACTTAAAGTGGGTCAAGAACAGAAGCAAGGGCACAAGATGAAAGGTTATTGCAAATATCCCTGTGGGCAAAGATGGTGGCTTGGAGGAGACGGTGACAAAGAATATGATAAGAAATGATCAGATCTTGGACATACTTTCTTGTAAAGCTGATATATTTGCTGATAAATTTGGGATGTGTGCGAAACTA